CATATCATATCCCCATCTCTCCCTTATCCCCTCCCTCCCTCCCTCCCTCCCCTGTCCCTCACCCAAGATTATTAAAAATGGGGGAATGGGAGAGAAGGAATAAAAACACTCTGAGGAAAATAAAAATACAGAACGTAATATTGTATTATCATGTTTTATTGTCACTTATATTCTCCCTAAGACTTTTACTGTTATTGTTTTCATGATAATAATAATAATACTATTAATACAACTAATAATAATGATAATAAAAACTTAATAATGCTAATGGTGATATATAAAAGCAATAATGATGCATAAAGTTAATACTACTAATATCATTAACATATTAATAATTATTATTATTATTATCAAAAATATGATTATCAGTAACATTAATGATATCATGATCATTGTTGTTAATATCATAACCACCATCTTTATTATCCTAATCATCATACTCATTATCATAACCATCATTATCATAAGTATCATTATTATTAACATAACGATCACCACCATCATCACCACAAACACCATCATTACCATCATCATCATCATCATCATCACTATTCTTATCTTTATCAGTAAGAAAGACAGCGTAAGGCCTTCCCCCTTCCCCCCACCTCCCACCCTCACCCCCCTCCACCCCCCACCCCCGACGGCGATCCACAGCGCAGGCAGATCCGAGCCAATGGTAGATGCTGCTGCTGCTTCTCCTGCCATACGATGTGAGTCATACTTTCACTCTCATGCGAGCCGACCTCTCCCCTCCCCCCCCCTCTCTCCCCTCACCACTCTCCCCCCTCCCCCTTCCCTTCTTTCCTTTCTCTCTCTCTCTCTCTCTCTCACCCCCTCCCTCCTCCCCCCTGCGACACCTCCCTCTTCTCTCCCCACTCCCACCTTCTCTCTTCGACCCACGCCTTGTCTCCCCGTCTCCCCTCTCTCTCTCTCTCTCTCTCTCTCTCTCTCTCTCTCTCTCTCCGTCGCCATTCCTCATTGCTCCTCTTCTCTCCTTTCTCCCTTCTACTTCTTCTATTCTACTCCCTACTTCTTCTTTTCCTTCTCCTTTTCCTTCTCCTTCTAATTCTAATTCTAATTCTTCTCCTCCTCTTCCTCTTCCTCTTTATTCTCCTTCTCCTTCTCCCCTACTCCTCCCCCTCATTTTTCTTCCTCCTCCTCCTCCTCCCCCCCCCTCACTGCTTCTACCTCTTCCAAAACATCTCCCTCCACCCTCTATTGTGCCTACAAGTCATTATCTCTCCCTTCAATTCTCCCCCAACAGCCTCAGCGATATTACCTCCTCCCCTCCCCCCCCTCTCCCCCCCACTACCTCCCCTCTCTCCCCTCCCCCCCTCTATCTTCCCTCTCTCCCCTCGGCCTCACCCCCCTTAGAGGAATAAGCACTTACAATGCCCTTATCCGCCCCCTCCTCTCCCCTCCCCCTCCCCTCCCCCAACTCTCCCCTTCCCTTGGGTACTGTTTGGCGATGCTGTGGAGCTTCGTCGTGATGATGGTCTCTGTCGGTCGGTCGGTCTCTCTCTCTCTCTCTCTCTCTCTCTCTCTCTCGCTTTCCTCCCCTCTCTCTCTCCCTCTCCTCCCCTCTCTCTCTCCCTCTCCCCCTCTCTCTCTCCCTCTCTCCCTCTCCCCCTCTCTCTCTCTCCCTCTCCCCTCCCCTTTTCTCTCTCTCTCTCTCTCTCTCCCTCCCTCTCTCTCTCCCTCTCTCTCTCTCTCCCCCTCTCTCTCTCCCTCCCTCTCTCTCTCTCTCTCCCTCTCTTTCTCTCCCTCTCCCCCCTCTCTCTCTCCTCCTCCATCTCTCACCCTCTCTCTCTCTCGCTTTCTTTCTCTCTCTCGCTCTCCTCTTCTCCCTTTCTCTCCCTTCCACCCTCCCACTCGTCAATACCTACACCTCACACCCATCCATCCACACCCACTCACTTTTCTTACTTTCCTCTCCCTCCCTCCCTCCCTCCCTCTCTTCCTCCCTCCCACCCTCTTGCCTCTTACCCGTGACATTTGACCCCTCCCTCCCTCCCTCCCTCTCCCCCCCCCATTCCCCGCGATCGCACCCTTAATCTGACCCGGCCTCCCCCCTACCTTCCCCCTCCCCCCTCGGCCTTTCACCCCCCCCCCCCAAGTAATGTCACTCTGCGTAGGGGTCTGATGCAGGTTTCACTTCAGACATGTGCTGGATGGCTCTCTCTCTCTCTCTCGCTCTCTCTCTCTCTCTCTCTCTCTCTCGTCTCTCTCTCTCTCTCTATATATATATATATATATATATATATATATATATATACATTATATATATATATATATATACATTATATATATGTGTATATATATATATATATATATATATATATATATATATATTTATTTATTTCCCTTTTTTACAGGCTCATCTTTTTACTTACTTCTCTTTTCATTCCGTATTCTCCTATCCCTCTCTTTATCTATCTCCTTCTCTTCTCTTCTTTTCTTTTCTCTTCCCCTTTCATTTTCCCTCCCTTTTCTTTCATTT